CGCCCCCACGCCCCCGCCCGCCTCGGCTCGGGCAGATGCCTTCTCCTTCGCCTCTCCCACGCAGGTCGGACGTCCGCGGGCTCGGGCCCCGGCACCCCGCGCCTCCTGTCCCCGTCGTGGTCCCGGGGATCCCGAGCCCCCAGTCCCCCACGGTCGGCAACCTGCATTCCGGTCCCGCGCCCCTATCCCGTCTAGTCCGGGATCCGAGCCCCCAACTCCCGTGGTCGCCGTCCCTCAGCCCCTCATTCCGATCTGCTCCCAGCATGCGCCCTAACGCCACGTGATTCAGACCGGAGTCCCCGGTACCCCTTCCGAGTTCTGCGCCTCCTGAATGCTCCCTCCTGCAGTGGCTGTTTGTGGCCTAACGGCGTTTTCTTACGGAAGGAATGGTGGCTTGATTTCGTTCTTTTGTAGACGAAGGCACTGCAGCCTTGCTGGAGGACCCCACCGAAGCACTGGTCCCAGTGCAGCTGCCTCTGGGTCCCTCATCAGCTTTCAGTCTGACGTAGATGTTTAATGGCAGGGGAGACTAAATGCTGGTTCCGTGGTACTGGCCTGAAGCAACCCGTTCATCACGCTTTCTCTAGGTGTTCTTCAACGGTGCCAACGTCCGGCAGGTGGACGTGCCCACGCAGACGGGAGCCTTCGGCATTCTGGCAGCCCATGTGCCCACCCTGCAGGTCCTGCGGCCAGGGCTGGTTGTGGTCCATGCTGAAGACGGTACCACTTCCAAATACTTTGGTGAGTTGAGTGGAGGGCAGAGGAAAGCGGCTGGGCAGAGGACACCGGTCCCAGCAGAGAAGTCCCCATTTCAGTTGACTGAGTAAGAAAGGGCATAGTGTTTCCCAGCTTTGGACTGGCTGTGGTTAGGGGTAGAACTGATCAGGGGAGGGGGACCCATGCTGACAGGTGCTGGGAAGAGAAGTGAAAATGTGGCCTGGAGGGGGCCCTTTGGAGGAGGAAGGATCCTCCATTCTAAGAAAGTCATCCAGCAGCGTGGCTCTTTCCCAGCACCACAACTGAGACTTGAACTCAGTTCTGCTTTTCCCCTGACCCTGGTTCAGCCCACGGGCTGGTGGGCAGAGGGAGGGGTCTTTGTCCCCATGTCCAGCCTCCAGGGGGTGCACCTGGTGGTCACCTATCTACTTGTGTGCTTGAGCCTTTGGACCTTGGAGCCAGGCTGTGGGCTCACCCTCCCAACCCAACAGGGGCTCTGGGGCTGCCCGTGTCCCCCATGCCTGGACATAGAGCTCTCACTCCCCCTCCCCCCCCCCGCAGTGAGCAGCGGTTCCGTCACAGTGAATGCTGATTCCTCGGTGCAGTTACTGGCTGAAGAAGCTGTGACGCTCGACATGCTGGACCTGGGGGTGAGTGCCCCAGGGGATGTCGAGGCACAGAGCTGGTCGGAGCTGGTGGAGAACTCCCTGGCTGCAGGGAGGGAACTGGCATGTGGGGCCAGTGTCGGGCTGGGGCCCAGGCTTAGTCCTCACCCGCCACCCACCCCCTGCAGGCGGCCAAGGCGAACCTGGAGAAGGCGCAGTCGGAGCTGTTGGGGGCGGCAGATGAGGCCACGAGGGCCGAGATCCAGATCCGCATCGAGGCCAGCGAGGCCCTGGTGAAGGCCCTGGAGTAGGCGGGGCCTGCCCCGTGTTGGCTGTGGCCGAGGCCCATGCAGCGGAGGCAGCTCCCGTGGTCCAGGCTGACTTGGGGGGCAAGAGGCTGAGTGAAGCGGGCCAGACAGCCCCTAGAGCACTACTTCCCTAGGGGGAGCGGTCCTTGCTGGGAAGCCGCCAGATGGCAGCATAGGGCCAGCTTCTGTCCAGGGCATCCTGCAGGGCTTTGTCCCCTCCTGCTAAATAAACCTCAGGAACAAACCCTCAGCAACTCTGGCCAACTTGGTGGGGCGGGGCGAGTTCAGACACTCGCTCTGTCTGTGGTGGGTATTGTCACTCTGGGGGCTCTTGTCCCACCTCCCAAGATCCCCTGGACCTGATGTGCTGCCCACCACTCCCCTGCCCCTGCCGAGCCTGCTGCAGAGAGCTCTGCTCCCAGCCTTCTCTCCCAGACAGCTTGCCCCCTCCCAAGGCCCTCATTAAAGATCTGGGAGCCAACTTGTGTTTACTGGCTTTGTCCTGCTTGGGGCAGCAGGCTCGGGACCCAGCCTGGTCTCTGCCCCAGCTCTCTGTGTCTACCGAGTGAGGTGGGGCAGTAAATGCCAGCCATTGCCTTTCTTGGGTCAGGAGGCAGTGACCTGAGACATCCTGGCTGTCTGCAGTAAGCTGGAGTGTCGAGGGGTGCGGGGGACAGAGCTCATGAAGCCAGGCTGGGTTGTGGGCTGGGTGCTGGCCCTCACCCCAGGAGGGTGGGGACGGGCAAAGGTCACTAGCCAGGGCTGGGGACAGCAGGCAGGGGTGTGGCCGCTGCTTCTGGACTGGGCTCGGGCTGCTGGACAGACAGGGCTCTGCTGGGCTCCGGTTCTGGGCTGTGATGTCTGCCCCGCCAGCTCCTCAGCCCTGCCCCAGCTGCGCTGGGAAGAGGTGGGTCCTGCCTGCTCCCACGGAGGCACTGCCCTGTGCTTGCCTGGCCTGTGGGTGGCCCCAGCTGGCTGGGCGCCCAGTCCCTGGTGGTGTTGGCACCCAGGCCCATGGGCCTGCCCCAGATTGGTGGAGTGACCAGGCAGGGGCCAGCCCGGTACCTTGAAGCTTAAGGGCTGCCCCATCTTTTTCAACCAGTAACTCCCTCTTCCGACCTGGGTGGGGTGGCCTAGGCACTAGCTCCGGGTGGCAGGCAGGGGTCTCCTCACCCTGCTCCCTGGTCCTGGGCTGAGCAGAGCTGGCAGGGGATTCCAGCAGGGTGAGTGTGCGTGAGCTTGGGCCTCCCTGTGTGTCACTGGCAGCCAGAAGGTGATGGGGAGGCCACTCCAGGGCTTGTCATCAGCACAGACAGGCTGGTTGTGTGTCACAGTCCCGTGGAAGTGACTGTCCCCAGGTTGTCTCTAAGGCTTGACATGGGGGAGATGTGAACATGGGAGGCTCTAGGCAAGCTTGCAGTATGGGGGACATCCATCCAAGTCTTGTTCCTTTTTGGGCAGGTGAGGCTGGAGTAGCCAGCTCCCTCTATCCCAGAAACCCCCAGCTCAGACAGGTGTGACAGCTGTGACAGCTTTGGGGGTCACAAGTGCAACCCCACCCCTCTCCGTCTCCTGGCTTTAGAGCCCAGGTCGTGGAGTTCCTGGCCCGTCTCCTTATCTAGTCTATAAATAAGACCAGGGGCATGGCTGGGGGTTGGTGGGGGCCTGTGGGAGGAGACCTTCACTAATCCACCGGACCGGCAGCCCCACACCAGGGACCCCACTAGCACCCCCACCCCCTGAGGCCTCAGCCCCTAGCTGTGCGACACAACCAGATGTAGCTAGGACCCCCCCAGCATGGCGCAGGCCCCTGGGGAATGTGGCAGCCTTGGAGCCCAGCCTGGGGACACTTGCACCTGCTGGGCTGCAGGAACAGCTTGTGCTGGCTGGGCTGCATCCTGGGGTGGGACAGGTCACAGGGCCAGGAACCAGAGGGTCATGACCCCTTCCAAGAGGGCAGGCCTTGGGCCTTGTGGCGCCCAAGGGTTCATGTCCCTCCCAGGAGGGGGTACGCTCGCATCCTAGGACCTGCCACCGTGGCACAAGGATGCTAAGTGGGAAAGGCAGGGAGACAGGCTGATCTGAGGTTGGCCCTCCTCCATGTGTGTGACCGTCAGCGGCTACATTCCAGGAGGACAGCCTACTTTTTAGTCCCCAGAGGAACCAGGTCCAGTGAAATCTTCAACCCACTCCCCGGAATCAAAGCCGCCACCCAGCACTACCTGCCCATCTGTGGGTCCCACCTGGTCTGCCACCTGGCCACTCTCCTGAGCCCTCCAACGTTGAGATGCTCCGGCTTCAGAGCCCGTGTCTCCCTGCACGACCTCTGTGTGCTCTTTGCAAGCCAAGCCAACCTGGCCCGCAGCCCTCCAGCTCAGCCCCACATGCACTCTGGGGCACTCACTCCAGCCACCAGTGCTTTGTGCTGATTGTTGCTCTTCCTTCCTTGGAGCACTGTTATCTTCCTCTGGCCAGCTGCTGTCCACCCCTCAACCCCATGACCCCCTCCCAAGGGTTCTGACAGCCCCTCCCTTGGGCCCAGCCCTGACGTTGTGGGGCTGGGAGTGTCTGGGTGTGCCTGTGACCAGGTTGGGGGACCAGAGACTGCAGGAGCATTGGGTGGGAGCATGATGGAGACCTGGAAAGCAACACAGCCCTGGGAGGGGCACCCAGGGTGAGGGTGGGGGTGGAGGTGGTCAGGTCAGATAAAGGGAGACACCAGGTAAGTGGACAGGAGTGGCCTGGGGTCCCATCCTGGACAGAGTGGGAAGGAGGACCAAGAGAGGCCTACCCTCATCCAGGGTCATCCTTTTAGAAAGCCCCCTACACAAGGCCACCTGAGGACCTGCCAGGCTTCTGCTTGTTACTGGCTGTGTGGCCTCTGTTTCCTCACCTGTAAAATGGGTTGAGTGATTACGCCTATCCTGAGGGTTGGGTACCAGCATGTGAGTCTGCTTGTTGGGGTGATGGCAATGTTACAGGGTCTAGGTGAGGGCCCCATGTCCCTAGGCTCCAGAGTGAGACCTGCTGTATTCTCATTTCGTTCCACTGCCACCCTGGAGAAACTGAGGCTCACAAAAGCCAGTGTCCCCCAGGGGTCGCAAGAGCCCAGCTGGTGGTGACTGGACGCACAAGGCAGGCCTGGTCCTGGTGAATCGCTCCATAAATGCCCTCTGAGGTCACTGCTAAGGGATGCGAGAAGCCGGGCTCCCGGCAGCCGGCTGGACACCCCCACTACAGGCAGGTGACTCGGGCCTGTTTCCTGGACCGTGGCCGCTGACTCAGGCCCCCCTTCCCGCTCCCCTACTCGGGAGCCCCCAGGCGGAAGCACTGGTCTGGGGCGGCAGGAAAGGGGGCAGGGTAGGGAATCCAGCTGTGCACCCTGAAACCCCTTCCAGTGGGCTGGAGTACGGATGCGCCTGAGTCGTCTGCATGGCCGACTGTGACCCCGGTTGGTAGCATTCAAGGAGCGCCCCTCCCCCTCGCTTCCAGGAGGAGGCTTAGGGGGCGGGTGGCACAGGACGGTCGGCGCCCTAGGGCCCTGGCCAGCAGGCAGGGGCGGGGGCCGGCCTGCGTCACCGCCCGGCTGGTCCCCCGCCTCCTGGCCGCCCAAACTCCACCCCGAGGGAAGGCGGCGCGGATAAAGGCTCAGGGGCCGCCTGCTCGGCCCCAGACCGGCTCTGCCACCGCGTATTCATCCCGTACGTGGGTACACTCTGGACTAATGGGACCTCGGGCTGGCCGCTCCCGGTGAGTGGGGGGGCGGGACCTCGCGGGCCGAGGAGGTGGGGTTCCCACTCTAGTCCCTTAAGGGTGCCCCACTTTTCTTGGTTCTTCGGGCAGGCAGAGTTCAGGGTGTCTCTAGTTCTGGGAAGCCCCTTGGGACGTGTAATGGAATGGACTCGGTGCAGCCAGCACGGCCCGGGCGGGACCTCTGCCCCCGCCCGCCCCCCGGCACTCCCCCCTCCCCGCGAGTGACCTTGAGCTAGTTGCCGTTCCCACATC